AATTATCAAGATTGCTAAATCGTGATAATAGGTGAAATAAAAATTCATCATTTGGGGAAAAATTATGGGTTTTAATGTTTTAATGTTAAATGGACAATATTGGACTACATGAAAAAATGTAGTGCATACACAATTGTTTTGCAGCAGCATAATACATTTAACAAAATATGAAAATTAACTTATCACCTTAGGTTCATTAACAAACAATGTTGAGACGCATTTTTAATAAGATAAGATACAAATTTTTATCAGTTATACATTATAACTTAAACTTACTATTTTTAGCAAACTGTTTTGAAATATACCATGATCTACATTCTTTGACTATTAAATAATACAATTATGAAGGGGGGAGTTATCCGAATAAACCGTATTTTTACTGAGACCAATATTGTCCTAAATCAGGGCTTTATCACAGAACATTATGTACTATTGAATATTGAACTTATTGGTCTTGAATATTATCAACAAAAAATATTTATATATAATAATATATGAATAATCATAATATAATAAATTATATCAAAAGAAGATAAATATCAGCAATAGCAATTGACTATATTATTATGTTACTACACTTATATTTTGTTTTTTAAAAAATTATTAATATAGACCTACTATAAACAAATAATAAATACATAATTGAGCATTTGTATAAATCCATAGAGCTAAGTAAAAAAATAAAACAGCTCGTGACGACAACGGCAATATATTACACGAGACGGCCAACTCTTATTTAACCTGTGTAATTTTAAAAAAATGATAACGACCCCTCTGTAGCCTAAACTAATGAATTGATTGACTTGAAATTTCAACCTTTGGAATATTGTAAATGGAATGTAATATTTAAAAGTATTAGCATTGATTATAAATATCATAGTTATGAATTGAAACACTATTTTTTCAACAATGTATATCATGTTGTACGCACCGGAGCGTTTTTTTGTCCACCCAAGACAACTGGACTATGATTTAGGCCTATGCATAATTTTTGGAGCGCATAGGTTGCCATTGCTATTTGAACAGTGAGTGGTTGTCGTTATCGCCACAGTAAAGTGACATTAAACTCTATGTTTGAAACTATTTTAGAACATGTCATGATCGATGGCGTAAGGTGTGAAAATTGTCAGACTTATTGGCCTCATACACATAGTAAACGCAAATAAATGTACATTTTTCCAAATACCACTATGGTCAGCTCCAACTACATAAAATCAATTACATAATTATAATTACCAACCCAGAAATTAAATATTGAAGAAAAAATGTATAAATTACACTCAGTTACTTGAAACCATGGTAATTCAATGATGTCAGCCCATAACACAAAGTATCATTCATCAAAGAAATAAATGGGTTGGATGCTATGATATAAACATTTTTATTAACAATGGCTCCATGGAGCTAAAATTGTTTACATTATCGTTTTCCAGAAACATTCATAAGCTATATTCATAGCTATTTATCATATTGATTTACTCAATTCATAGAACAACAAAGATATTTTGTCCCCACATTTTACAACTACATGTAAAAACCTCACAAAGAAAAAAAACTCAAGTTAGAAAAGTCTGATATCATAAAGTAATTTCTTAAATTCATTTGTATAGAAATTGTTTATAATTGTTTATTTTTGATGAAGTGAGATAATTTAACTTAGCTTGTCAACTACTAATAGTTACACCTACATCTACAATGCCGACATGAATATTTACATCCCCATTTATAATTTTTATAATATTGCCATACCAAAATGTAAGTGCACACTATTGGTAGCCTCCACGCTAAGTCAAATTATTTGTATTAAATTATAGCACTTTATCAAATACACAAAATAATAAACAATTTGAATACTAATAAATTTAAGAAATTACTTAGCTTTTTTTTGTTATCACAACTTTTCCAACTTAAGTTTTTTTTTTCTTAGAGAGGTTTTTACACGTAGTTGACGGAGTATTTTTGTTGGGATAAATCATAACATTAGGTCTTTAATATTAATAACATAACATTAATCTTTTATTTACCTTAAAATAAAGACTAAAAGAGAAAGTGTACAAATACAATTTAATTTTTTAGTATTTTAGTAGGTATGACATCAGTAATAATAAATTAGCAACTTAAAAAAATGCAGCAAATATTATCATAGAATGATCAAAGAGAAAACAAATAACCTGTTTTATAATTTTAGAATGAATTGTTGTGGATAAAAATAAACAAAGAGTAATAATAAAATGGAGTTAAAAAACCTAAGAAAAGTAAAATTATCTTTTAATTTATTTATTTAATGTATACAATCACATAATTTGAAAAGTGTAACCACATCTATGTACCAGCTCAAAAATATTTACAAAAATTAACTTAATTGATCATATTATAATACTATTTTCAAAAAAAACCATAATGGGTTTAAAGCAAATAAATATTTTTTTTATTTATAGACAATAGGAAAAATATATTACAACTCCTCTAGGTAGTGGTCATGACTGATAAAGTTAAGAAAATAAAAATATCTAGGTATATCAATTACAATATTGGTTCATTTTTGGTTTTTAAAGTTTTTATCAAACCTAATTAAAATCATAATACAACTGAACTCTATGGATGAGAAAAATTTAGATAGTTGGTTAACCAATTCAGAATTTTAGCAACTAACAATAATATAGAATATTATTTTTTGATGTTATAAAATTGTCTTGTTAGCTTCAAATGTATATTGGTACTGTATTGTAGTGATCATATTATCAAAATTTTAATTTAAAAAAAACATCACGTATGCTTGCTTGGACTAAATCATAACAGTAAACAAAAATGTAACCATTTTCATATTCACATCATATGAAATTAAAATAATCTAAATGAATGTAGTAAGACATATTTGATAAATTGGGTAGTAAGGAATTTATTAAATTAAGATACTACATTGCAAAGATTGTACATACCTACCTACTAGCATAACAAACTAATGAATAATCAAATGTTTCTTGCAATATAACTGGGATTAAAATACAAATAAAATATTAATAGGTACATTATACAAATCATTTTGTATTAAAGTTATAACTATTGAGATTTTAAATAGTCATTAAATATTAGTAAGGGCTTGTATTTCTATACCCTAGATACAAATTTGTTTTTTATTCAACAGAATCAAATAACAACATTTTTATTTGGCATATAATTGCAATTTTTTATAATCAATCTCTGACATACAATTATACAAACAATAATCGTAATTGATACAAAAATGGATTGTGTGAGTAAAGAATGAGACCTTTCAGAGATAAGATTTAGAATATAATATATATATTTATAGTTTTGCTAATTGTAATAAATATATATTATTTTTATTTTGTATATTTATTGAAAAATACATAGGTACCTACTTTTTTTGATAAATTGTAGTTTTTACATAATAGTATAGTACATTTTTTATGATATCAAATTAAAATTGCATATTTTACGATTTTTAATATATATGGCTATTTCTTGTGTGCATAGGTACATAGGTACAAATTAAAGTAGGTAATAATTGTATCATGGAGATGACAATTTAAAGAAGTTTTATCTCAAGTTTTACTTTGTAATTGTACAGTTGTACCTATATAGTTTTTGAATAGTTTTCAGCTCAGGTTCCAGGATTATAATATCCTCCGACTTTTTGAAATGTCTATAAGTTCACAAATTTAAAATACAAATAAAAACATAACTAATAATATCACTCAACAAATTGAAATGTTTCTATGGTTTTTTTTAAGCTGTTTCTAGTTACCTACCTCATAAAAATACTTAAAATACTCATGGATAAAATAAATTATTCATAATAACTAACGATATATGAATTTAATAGCTTTTGTAAATGGAAAATAAATGAGGTAAGTACATCAATACTCTGAACAATAATAATAAAGTAGGTACCTAGTACCTATAACAACCATTCAAAACTGAAAAATAGGGTCACATCAGATACAAAGTAATTTTAATTTTAATTAAGATAAATAATTTAAAACATTTAAAGTTAAATAATCAATAATAGGTATATTAAGTTGGAACACCAAGCAAATTATATGGAAAAACATACTAACAGAAAACAATTATTATACATTCATACTCATTTATCAATAACATACATTAATAAATTCTTCGTAATAAAAATTGCACTACTAACCTCTAAGAAATTACAAGTATTATGATTTTAATCACACATTATTTAAAGGGCATATAATATGTCATATTTAAGTATTATCACAGAACAACTAAATTTACTTACAAGTCAAAAAAATAAATTATCAGTTACACAAAAAATAAATTCTTGTTAGGTATACCTACCTAGCACTTTTTTAAGTAGGTATACCTATCATAAATCGGTAAAATATTTCTTTCAATTTCAGATGAGTGAATCGTAGATTTTAGTTCTATGTAATTGAGTATGCAATTGTATGGGTTTATCTATAAGTATAATACTAATTTGGAATATCAACAAATTAATGAAAAACAATTGGAAGGTAGGTACTAAAAATGTCTTTATCTATTTTTTCTTGATTTGCTTTTACTGTGAATTTATTTAAATAATTAAAAACTTCATAATATTATGGTCATTATCATGACTTAACATTGCCTATTTGCCCCTAACTAAAAGCATATGCTACAAAAATTGTATAGGTGGATCAAATGTACAGTGGGTTGGTCCAATTGACATTTTAAGTATTTATTAAATTATCCCAAAATTGCACTTATTCATTTATTTAACATTAAATTAACAGTTGGATAACACATATTGAATGTGAAAAATGCATTTGTAAACTCAATTTTACATAGGTAAGTAGTAGGATACCTAGTATGAAAATAAAACAAAATTATCTATAATTTCTATAATAGGTACTCAATGATGTTAGCACTGTACAAAAACGTTTAAAACCAGAAAACCATTACATTTGTTTGATATTCAATAGAAATGAATGATTAAGACTTAATAACATCAAAATGAAAGTAAAAAAACTTACCAGCATTCATTGACACAGATTTTATGCGGCGTATCAAAATACGTGTGCTTCACAAGAGGCGTAATAACAGATGCTGCCCACGATCAACACGATTTTTATAATCATAAGACGAGTGCCGAATTAATAATTTTAAACAACATCATAATTCTGTGCGATACTATAGGATGTACGTATAATATACTGGAACATTTAAATGAGCAATTTCGATTCCGTTCGGTTACCAGCTACGTATGAAGTGTAAATTCACTTTTTGGCGTAATAACATTTGAAACGTAAAAATAAACACTCCGATAAATCGCTGATAATAAAAATAATAATAGCTATCACAATAAAAAGCAAAATAATATACAATTTAAATATTACTACATATTTATTATTATGTGTGCGTGTTTATTTTACTGAGAGTAAATTTGTCTACATTATAAAGTATTTACACAAATTACAACTGCATCTAATAACTCATCTACTCTAAGTGAGATAAACATGAACTGACTACTGAGAAGAAAAACAAAACTTTTTTCGACTTTCTAAAAAATAATAATAATAACACGTTTGGAGAGTATAACGGGACTGGGAAGGAGAAATTGGTCACGTCTGGTGTTGTTGGTGAGTATGTCTGGTCTCCTATTGGTCTGTTATTAACGTCACGGATCTTGGAAAAGTCGACAAGCCCATGGAAAATCTACTTACTACTTCGAGGTACACTGATAATAATAATACTCAAAATCACCGATAAGAAAATGAACTGATCAGTGATAATGTTAAGCTAATAATTAATAATTATCATTTATCACGATTTCATTTTTAAAGCGACGCGAACAATGAGTATTTTAAGATGTGCATTGTGCAATTAATTTACGATTTTATCATACTACTATATCTCGCATTCTCGCTTTAAAAATATAATTAAAAGTCTATGACATTAATGGTAATTAATTTAATAATAATCTTACCTTTAAATTTGATAAGATTATTAAGATTTATTTTCACTCCAATTTTTAAACTAACTGAGAGTACGATTTGCTATGTACGCACTTGAAAGACGGAGACTACAAAGTCGGTGTAACGTCCTCTTAAGATAGTTAATTAAATAATAAATATTAATGTTAAATGTTGTTCCCAATTCCCAAGGTGGATTTGAATGGTTGAATAAATTGGATATTAATTTACCTCGGTTAATCCATAATATAGACATATTATAATAGCAACATTCGTTATTACTCTATGTCTCTATGAAGTAAAAGTTCAGATTTAATCTTTATCCTTTTTCAAAATCATAATGTATTGAAATTTTGAATGTTCAAACCTCGAACCCAGACCTCATTTCATGGCACGATATAAGATAATTATTTGAAATCGCGGTTCGTACATTGTAGTATTGTACCTCCATGGTATATTATATTGCCATATTGGTATGCCAGCAGATATCATGCGAATAATTTTGAAATTAGTAATTACTTCGATTTTTGATTACATCAACAGTTACAAACAAATCATCCGATTAATAATTTACAAAAAAAATGGTTCTCATTTGAAAAAAAGTAATTTGTATCGCCACAAAACAATGGTGTAAAAAACTAAGTACCTATTGGAAAATATTGCACTTTGACTTTGGTATAAAAATCAGAAATCCATGATTAAAAGAAAAAAGCGGAAAACGGTTAGGAACATATACATATAGAACAACGCAGTATATCTATGGTTATGAATGTTATGATACATTTTATCTATAAAGCCGCGAATAGGAGTGAGCAGTATAGTTAATATTAATTATTACCATACAATATAGACATAATAGAATCTATTATGTCTATTATTATTATTATTATTATTATTATTATTATTATTTTGTCAGTTAAATTGTTAGTGAATCACTCTGTATTATATTACTCTCTGCTCTCAGCTGTGTATAATAGTCATACAGATTATAGTATAATTAGATAATAGTATAGGATTATGATTTTAAGGTTGAATTATACATACTAGAATTATAGTAGAATCATGACTAAATACTAGGTACTACGAAGTATCTATTTAGCCATGAGTAGAATCTTAGATATTAGTCCCAGAGTTGGTGTATTTTGTTTTAAATAAAATAAATTGTTTGTGTTTTAAACAGTGTATTTAAAATAACTTAATTTTAATTTAATATGGAATTTACTTATATGTTTCGCAGTTTATTTATTACTTATTTTAAACCTTAAAAATAGATATTTATAATGTTCTGAATGGACATTATTTTATGATTATATTAACCATAGACCTATAATAGTTTATAGGTCTATGATATTTGGTAATTTATTCAATACAATTTTTAAAAAAAAATTAAAATGCAGGATGGAAATAGATATAATTGTTTAATACTTAAACTTTTTATCTGAAGGATATCTATTATTATTTATTGTTAATAATAACTAAAAAAAAACACAACATTCACTTGATTTTACACTGTTATAAACATGTTTTATCCGTTTTAAACAATGAACTTCACGTTTAAAACAAGTTGTGTTAAACATTGGGTTTCAAACATAACAACCCTTGAAGGCTTAAACCCTGGATATTAATGTATTATACTATTATCTAAGGTAGAATCACAGAATAATGTTATTTATTGTTATTTAAAATATTTAATTTTGTGGTAGAATCACGATGTAGAGAAGTCACTTGTGTAGTTGTGTAGTATATAAAAAAAAAAAGTTGTGTTTGAAGTGTTAGAGATTAAGAGATTAAGAGATAAAGAAAAATCTTCTCTACATCGTGATTTGTGGGGTAGAATGAAATGCGTTATCAGTGATTCGTTATCTAGCCTATTACATGATATTATTATAATATTAAATAATTATTCTATTCTGCGTATTATTTATCAATCCGTTGACCATTGGTTATAAATTAACATTGACATTATATTTTATTATAATGTTATAGGTACTATTGGTACTAATACAATATTATAATAATCATTATACTGTTTCTTAATCATTAGTCATTGATTTTTACAACTACTTATTTTTTAGACTGTAGTTTACATTTCACACTTGTGTATTGTACTCAGTGATCAGTACTCAGTTGAGCACCTTTATAGGTACATTATCATTATATATTTTATATTTTCAATTATAGACTTGGTTGTGCTGTCAATCATTTTTAAACATTTTAATTTTAAAAACCTTTAAATATTTCTTCTCAAAAAATGTCCACGTCCAACTATGATCCTCATAAAATATATGAAATCGGTTTCATAGGGGCTGGAAATATGGCTCAAGCCATTGGACTTGCTTTTATCAAGAAAGGTAAATTTGCTAAATAATTTTAGTTAGTTAAATGTTTTCCCTTCTAGCAAATAGTAACAAGTGGTGACTTCTTAATCAAGCATACCATGTTTTCATTTTCTTTTCACATGTACTTATTATGCTAAGTATAGATTGTATATTTATTATTAAAAATAAAAATATGCTTTAAAATAAAAATTATTACCTAGATACCAATAAATAATTCAGAAATGTCACCAATCAATTTTTTTTTTCATTTTTTTAAGTACCTATTCAATTTTCTTTCACATTTATTTTTTCTTATTATACCTATACAATCTACCTATAAGATATAAGTACATTTTATTTTCTATAGGATCTCAAAATTAGCTAATATAGTTACCTAGAAAAATTTTCTTATTTATTTGTTTGACCTGCTGTATTTTATAATAAAAATAATCTAATGATATTTTAATGATTTTTTTTTAAAGGTATATGTCAACCAGAAAACTTAATTGTATCGTCACCTTCAGAAAATAATAAAAAAGTATGGCGAGATATTGGTGTTGCTGTAACAACTGATAATAGTAGGTTTATAGTAACAGCACTAAATACTAAGTTTATGATGCTTAGATAATGTTATAATATGGCACTTTATTAATCTATTTTTCAGATGCTGTGTTTTGTAATACTAAAATAGTATTTTTAGCAACGAAACCCCAATATTTCCCTAAGGTTGTATCAGAATTATTTACAACAGTTTTTGGTTCCTTAAATATTTTAATATCAATTATGGTTGGAATACCACTAAATGTATTACAAGAGGTAAAGAATTGAAATTAAAATTTGAACTAATATAATACTATTATGTACTTCAATCTAAGTTATTTTATCTATTGTTATTCATATTTAAAAAAGTTATAAATAGTTTTTTAAAAAACATTAACTGGATTATTATGTTTCTAAAAAATACATATCAAAAAAAAAAACAGTTTGTTTGATTGATATAGCATTTTAATGATGAACTGTAATCTGATACATAAAATATGCACCTAACTTCATTTAATTTTATCAACCATTAGGTATATATACTATATAGGTACTAAAATATATACTAATAGCTCCTTAAATATTATTTATCTGATATTATGTAGGTATAGGATATTGTATAGTCTTGGTTATTCTTGATTTATAAGTGTTGAAAGAACCGTAATCACTAATCATTTTATTTTTTATTTTAGTCATTCAAGGTAAACCCTAGCGTTTTATTCAAAGTTATGCCAAATACACCTAGTCTAATCGGAGAAGGATTTTCAGGTTTGTTTTAACCAATGTTTTACAAAATGAGAGGTTTGCAGCATATTTAAGTCAGCCCAAATTCTTGTTACTTTATTATCCAGGGATTTAATTGAATTGCCTTTTAAAATTTGTAGGTGGTTAAAAAAAATATTTGATTTCTTGCATTATTACATGGCAATTTTTTGCTATTTAAAATAGTATAGCTATGCATAGAAAAAAATATGTAGAGTGAGTCTTTCGAGTTATTTGAACTGTCAACTTAAATTTCATAAGGCATCATTGCTATTTAAAGGTGCATTTATGTATACATTTCACAATAAAATTAGACTAAGTTGGTTTGAAGCACAAATTTATATAATTGAACATACCATATTGATTATATATGTATGGCTGGCAAATTCATAGTTTAAAATTAATCAATTATTGTTATATTAAAATAAGATGGTCACTAACAATTTAAAATGTTATCTGTTATTAATATATTGTTTTAGTAATCTCTCATCTAAGTGATGCTAACTTGGAGGAAATTTCTGTTACTTTGCCAAAAGTTAAATTCTTAATGAGTGCTGTAGGTGGTGCAGAAGTTATACCAGAATCATTAATGGATGCAGCTGGAGCAATTTCGGGTTCTGGTCCTGCTTATGTAAGCATTCAAAATTTAAAAATATGTTTCTATAATATATGATTAATTATTTTTTATCAATAAATGATGCAGATTATATATAATTGTTTAGGCATTTCTTATAATTGAAGCATTGGCCGATGGTGGTGTAAAACAAGGCATTCCGCGTGACTTAGCTGTACGTTTAGCAGCTAGTGCTATAGCAGGAGGAAGTCGTATGGTTTTAGAAACAGGAAAACATACTGGCCAACTAAAGGATATGGTAACATCTGCTGGTGGATCAACAATTGCAGCTTTACATGCATTAGAAAAAGGAGGTGTTAGGTAAATATATTATTTTGTAATCCAGCTGATTATTTCTTAAAAATATACAATTATTATTTGTAATGCTTCATATAGATCTGCCATGATGGATGCAGTTGAAGCAGCTACTAATAGATCAAAGGAAATGGGAGAAAAAAAATAATAGTTACGATTGCATTTTATAATGATCTATAATTAGTAATATAATTATAATAGTCAACTAAATTATTAGTTTTACTTTAAAGTTTATACATCATCTTACGTCTTTATAATATAATACAGTATGAAAAATATTTTTGTTTTGATAGTAATAATATTTTATGTATCTGGGGCATATTCAACACATCTAGAAGGATCAGTTGGGAAAAATAGTTGACATTTAGTCATTAAACGTTTCAAGGCTTGAATGTATTTCCTTTGTGTTTCATCATTTAGTACATGTGCTACATTTTTTGAGAAAATCTTTTCTCGTCCCGTACGAGCGTGAATACCAACCATAGTAACTCCAATAGGCCATGGAGCGTTACCAATAGCCATTTCCAAATATGCATCACTAGCTCTTAAATAATCTTTCTCCAGCATGTGTTTTGTAATAAGTGTAAGACTATCCAAAATGTCATCAGGTAAACTGCTGTTTTTTAGTTTTCTTAATAGTGGTTTCAAGTAAATTAGGGTTTGATTGTAAGTAGCTAAAGCTAACTTTCCTTTAGTACTAGCTTTTTCTTTAACAGATCTAGCGTTAAGTTGAACCTCCCACATTTTCAATAACAATTGTAAAAGCTGTAAAATAATTTCCATATCTTGGGATCGATCACGTCTTCTTCCTAAAATTCCAGCTTTAGATTGAATGGTCTCATAAGTTGCCATTGCTTCTTCCATGCTTTCCAACTCAGTGTAAGTTTTTTCTGGTGCCTTATTTGTCATAAGCTTATCTAAATAGTCTTGATCGACTTTTTCTAGTGCTTCTTGAAAATCATTTCTGAAACCCTAAGCACCACATATTTTGTGTAAAAATACAGAAATAATTAATATAATATAAAATTGAAGACGTACCTTATTTGACTCTGGTTCAGCAAGTTCACTTCTACGCAGTCTTTTAAAAGAATCGAGTTCTGATTCTCCAAACAGTGTAATAGGTTCACCGCGATCTCTCAACCTACGAATTACTTCTTTTCTTGATAAGGTATGTTTCTCAGATGTAGAACTATTACTTTCATCACCACTACCTACATTTATTGTTAAACAATTATTACATTTTTTTTTTTTTTTATATATAAGCTTAAGTTTACATTTTGTCAAAATTTGCATATTATGTAGTTAATGTATCAAACGTTATTTTTTTTTAGACAAGTATTAAAAACTTAATAGAAACTTCCTCATAATGAAAGTCTAAAATCAAAAGATCTAAAAAATATTTAAATGTATTTTTGTTAGACATTTTATTTTCAAATTTGGACAAAATTAATGAAGAATAACAATTTTAGTTATTTTATTTTATTAAATATAAGGGATAAACCCTTTAGAACATAAACATTAAATACACATTATACATATATACACATTTATTGTACAATTTATGATATAATTATTAAAATTAATAGCTAGACAGTAAATTATAGGTATAGGAGACACAAAGGGTAAACATTGGCAAGTAGGTTAGGCAAAAAGGTGTATTTTTAAGATAATTAGTAGAGACGAAAGGAACATAAAAAAGAGCAACAGATTGGGAGTGACGTTGAGGTACTCTAAAACAAATTAAGGAAAGCAAGCCAGGAGTCAATATTACCTTGTATCAAACTGTTCAAGACATCCGCAATACGTCTAAGCTCAGTTAGGGAAACCAAACCAAGTTGAGAAGCAACAGGTCAATAGTCATGGGGTTTATAGAGAATATTATATCTAAAACTAGCATACCTCATACATTTACGCTGAACCCTTTCTAGCCTAAAACTGTCATTGATGTTGTGAGGATCCCAAATAACAGCATTATACTTATCAATAGGGCAAACAAGTGCACAATAAACTAGCACCTAAAAAGGTTAAGCCTAACAGAACGTCCTTATATAATCTTATACAAACCCCAGAGTTTTAAAAGCCTTACAACAAATATGTTCAATGTGGGGTAACAGATCAAGATCACTACTAAGAATAAAACATAGATCAGTTACACAGCCATTAGAGCATGAGATAGCATTAAGTCCGAGATGATAGCGTACATGACAAGAGACTGAATCCTGGCAAAAGTCATGGTATTACATTTAGAAACATTAAGGGACAACCCTAGTAAATTGAACCACTCAGTGAACCGATCAAAATCACTCTGAAGGACAAAATACAGTCATCCAAGGAGGAAAATACGAGAGTAGAGCTTAATATCATCTGCAAAACATAAAATACAGCTATTGGAAAGAACACTTGATACACTATTAATAAATAGAGAGAACAGGAGTGGAGATAGGTGTTCTCCCTTAGGACAAAATACGTAGCAAGATAGACATTCAGTTTTAACCAATTGGTAAGGGAGGTAAGACTAGAACCAGGACATGAGAGGTTCACCAATTCCAGATACATTGAGGACCTGGACTAGGGCATTTTGAGTAACTGAATCAAATGCCTTATTGAAATCAGTGTAAATGAAATTTACCTGTGATTTCAAATTAAAAAATTGGTTTACATAATTGTTAACAACTAAATTACAGGTGATGCTATTATAGCATCCTATTAGTGAACCTAATTATAGCCATGCTGTTCCTCCATAATAGTTCTATTGATCAATTGTTGAATACAATGCAAGACCAGCGATTCAACATTTTTGGAAAAATGTCATTGGATGGAAATCGGACGATAGTTGGAAACATTGGACAGTTCACCAGACTTGTGTACATGGGTAACTGAGCTGAACTTAAACATAGAAGGGAAGATTCCTTCTTCAAGTGAACACTTAAAAAGAGTCAGAGCGGGAAAGCTATAACATTTTTTAATTGACAAAAGTATTCACAGGATAAACCATCAGGTTCAACTGTCTAGTTACCGTGCAAGTCAGATAAGTGTTTATAAACATTTTCAACAGTAAAGTTAACATTATTAGGTAAGTCAAAGGACTTGATAACTAACGAGGTAGTATCAAGATTAAAATAATCATCAGAGAAAACAGACGAGAAGAACAAGATATATTTTTATTGCTTATTAAACCATAGCGGGAATTATGAATTAGTGAATTTACACTTATGAACAAAGTAAAGAACCAATTTGCGTAAGGCATCATAAAAAGTATTAAACGCTGAGTCCACATTATATAATTGGAATGTTGATTACCTAGTCAATGTCTAAGGGCTAGGATTTAAATGCAATAATTGTAAATTAAAAATGCAAATTATAAATTTTGCATTTTATTTACCGAAATATGCAAAAATAAGAAAAAAATGTTTTTATTTCTTAAAATTTAATATCTTTTACATAAAATCAGAAACTAATTGAAACGGAAACTACTAATTAATAATTATTTATTATTACATTGAATATTGCTGTGATGATATTATGTTTTTTCAAATTTTGAAACATGAATAATTGAAATTATATTGACTAAAACTTGTCGTACTAATAAACTTTAATTGTACGTGTTTTGCATGTTTATAATAATATTATCAATGTTCATCAATTTTTTTTTTATGCATATTATTACTCTAAATTCTTATACCTTCTATTTATGAGATTACAGATAACCAACTAAAATGTATAGAAAAAAAGAAAAGTTACACTATTTTCATCAACAATGATATTGTATGTAGTAATTTTGAATATTAGGAAAAATACCTGAAGAAAGAAATTATGAACTGTAGAATTCATACAAAAATTAATATATTAATATTACAGATTATGAAAATGTATGTATTAAAGATTCAAAACTATGTTGACTATAATTATATTTCTTATAAGATTTTGAACAAAAAATTATTTATTTTTATTTTATAACTTATTAGTGGTTACCAGTAAGTAAATTAAAGTATGTAGTAAACACTTAATTGTTTTTTGTTTGAAGTACCTATCTTATCCATGATTGGATTGCCCCCCCCCCCCCGCGACATAGGTCTGTGCACGCCTGTGATTAGTGCTATATTCTATATATTATTAACACAAGAATTTAATACTAACCTGATGATTGTTTTTCAACCGGATTTTCAAGACCTTCAATTTTTACAGTACTTTTTTTCAAGTATTCTTCTCGTTCTTTGTTTAATAAATCAGATCTTTTAAAGAATTTTCTATTTGGATTCTACAAAATATAATTATAAATATCAAAATATTGCACACTTTTTCTACAAAATGTATGAACTAGTCCAGTCGATATAATGAAAAATAGGGGGATAGCAGTAGCTGGGAAGTATTCTGAAGTTAACAGAATTTGTACAGGTTGTCTAGGGGTACTCTAGGATGTCTATCCTAAGTTTTCAACCTGGAGGATCCTGTACTAACTTAGGGGGGTGGAGGCTTATATCTCGTAAGCTAATCGTATTTTGTATTCTATAGGACTTAACAAAGTTGTAGAACATTAAATTTGCTAAAATTTATATGGTAAAACTAATTTTTAGATGAAAAATTAACCAAGATACAGCCAATCAGTCAGTCAACGTTTTTAAAATGTAAAAAAATAGCTGAAAACGAAGGTTTTGGATTTATAACTATTAACACCAGTACTTCCATGGTAATTATGTCAATCACTCATTAATATCAACATCCGGAAACATCTAGGGACACCTAAGACCCTCCCTCCCCACCCCTTTCCCTTCAGAAAAACGTGATTAATGTCTCTATTTAACATATGAAATGAGTTTAAAAAAACAACATCTTTTTGGTTTTACGAACCAAATTAGAGCAGATTGAATGTTCTACAACTTTGTTGGGTCCTATAGAATAACAATTATGATTATTTTACAAGATATAATCGAAAAACTGAAAAAAGTCTGAAGTATTTTCGATATTTGCACCTCTCCCTGAGTTAGCACAGGGACCTTCAGGTCGAAAACTTAGGGTAGACATCCTAGAGTACCCCTAGACATCCTGTACAAATTACATTGACATCGGAATATTTTCCATGTAAAAATTGCATATCGACTGGACTATATATAAATTCATGAAGCACACTGTACCTACAGTATTATATATTTTATGTAAATATTACTTACAAGTAAATTAGCATCTTCTAATTGTTTTCTTTTCTTTTCGATTTCAGCTTTTAAAAGATCCATAGTATACCTAATTGGAATTCAATAAAATATTATTCTATATCACATTGATTTGAAAGTTGAAACTAATATCTAAGAAATGACTAGTGAGAAGGTATGAAATATGAATAAAAATTAAAAATCAAGATTCTAGGTATATAGACAGTGTATACCTACATTAAATTAGGATAAAGTATAAACTAAAAAATTAGGATCCGTGATGCACACAGATAAATGATTATCTACAGCACGATTTAAGATAGTAAATAGTAAAGAGTTATGATAAGAATATTTCATGGGAATCCAGATTCCACTACTAGCGCTCTTTTAAATTTAAATCTGTTATCTGGTGTTAATTGTTTAGTGATACAATCTGCAAAAGTGCAAAATAATGGGTATGCTGACAAATAGATCCCGCGTCATCGAGATCCCGGTAACCATTCTGATAAGAATTGATACCAGGTCCGAGTCATTCAGATCCCGAGACAAAATGATCCCGCGTCAATTAGATCCACTGACATTTATAGATCCCTGCTTGTTTGACACATCTAGGTACATTTATAACTGGCGGCATTTTTAAAATTCAAGTTAGTAGAGAATTATTTATGCCTTTACAGTTTACTCCCCAACTTCATTAAAAAATAACTTTTAACATGGTTAGTGTCAATAATTATATTATTCTGATTTAATTTTCATTGTAATGATGAGGTCCAAGTGTCACAGTCACTAGATAAGTCCTAGTCCCTAGGGTCTAGACTCCACAATGCACACATTTCACTAGGTATATCGTAATTATCAATCTAAATTTATAAAAAATACTGTACACTATTTTAGATATATAAATTTAAAATACAGAACAAAACCACACACATTTCTTTGTTGTTGTATCCAAAAATTGCAAACCTGCTTTGTAATTAGGTACTTTACTACATTCCTATCTAATTTAAAATTTATATTTTTCTAAAATTAAATAATTAAGAAAAATATATAAGTATATAAATAAAATTAATTTTCCGTTTTTTGGCTGGTATCGGTGCATGAAGTTTTTTTTTAAAAATTATGACGATCCCAAATAATTTGACCTGGGCATTTGCATTTATATAATTTATAACTATTTATTACCTACATTTTTTTCCTGATAATACGTAGAATTTAGATCGACCTCATATACATATTTTTTTATTTTTTTTTATTTATTATCCCGCAACAACATAGGCCATTGGGAGGGGGGTGAAACTGTAGGTTTTGTGGAACACATGGGTGATATACATATTTTGTAATAGTGCATTAGTACAATAATTATAGTAGATACTTACCATAAGCGGCATAAGCTATACAACTCGAGTTAATGATTATTAATGTCTATACCTATCCAGGCTATCCATATTCAATTTATGTGTCACATATAAGAGTATAAGACACATTAACTATATTAAACTTTAAGACATAATCAATAGTTACTGCAATATAATACGTTAAAAACTAATAAAAATGTATAATATTATCTGAATCACACTAAATCTTTTTTTTCTTATAAATTTATAAAAATGGGTGATTTTGCTTTAACATTAAATAAATATTTTTTACACATTATAAAGGTAATGGTAGTACATTGGTAATTTGTATGAGCCCTAACGTATTTCACTCTATGAACTACTTTAACATACCTATTGTACCTAGTACCAAAGATTATACATACCTAGTATAAATAATAAAAATAATTAATGCTAGTACCTATACCCATTTGTACCTGTGGGTTATGAAAGTGATGCATTTTGACTTTTGAGTTAGTTTACATTAACGTTCATCACCCGACACCCGAGTGTAAGCATATTATTATAGTCATATATTATGTAATATAGTTTTATCTTTTATATATAGTTAATAGTTATACTATAGCTGACCCGGCAAACGTTTTTTTGCCATATAAATTATATGGTATTAATATACTATTATACTATTAGTATAATTATACTCCTGGCTGATCCAGCGTACTTCGTTGCTCATACAAAATGACAACTCTTTAAAAAATTGTGGTTGTTAAAATCTTTTTGGATGTAACTCGCAGCAGTAATTGCAATTCAGAGACCCTGGTAGACAATCCTACTACGTCGGATCGCGGACAATGTGCGAGACACGATTAAAGATATACCTTTAATCATGGTGCGACAACATATCAAATAGCTGACACCATCGATGAGCGGCTATAAGTAAAGCGACAATCCGATTTAATGCACGCTTGGTAAACCAACAGTATAGCGTACGCAGGATTTTAGTTCGGTTAGGGTTTTATCTGAGTAAATAACTTGCATTATTTTTTACTCACAGTGGAGCAGGAACTATTTTTCATGAGGGGTTGTGGCAAAACATAAAACATCCAAAAAATATAATATATTTATTTGTGGATCTATAGATATAACAGAAAACCTTTCTTAATATTTTATTCTTTTAATGTTGATATAGGTAGTTTATTATAATAAAATAATTATATAAATGTATTGATATAATTATAGTATAATATAAATAGTAAATACATTATATTTATACATTTATATATTGAAACGAAACATAAAACATATTTACTTTATACCTGAATTTATATTAAAATGTAACAATATATAAATAAATATTAATTAATTAAATATAAAAAAGGTGATCTGCTGTAGGTACTGTATAGGTTACAAGTGTGAAGTGGGTCACTGCATAATGGATGGTATTAAGTTTGAATTCAATGATATAATATCATCATTGTATAAGAAAAATGATTCTGATCGGAGACGGTATATCAGTCTAGGTATAAGACATATTATAAACTTATCTATCGTATTAAAAAAAATTTACCTAAAATAGGTTCCTATAATAAATTCCAAATTAATCATATCACAATATCCATTAGGTACTTAAAATGCGTTATACGTCAACAACAAACTCTGATACCATCATAGTCCATACTCAATAGATATATTATAATAGTGTACTTTAGAAGTTTCAAGTACCTACCCACGAATAATATTACACAATCACAACAAAATAACTAAAATAGTTATTCTAGGTTTTTTATTATGTATTTACGTCCAAATTTGAACTTAAAATGACTATAAAAATAAACTGTGCTTCTGTATTTTTTAGAATTTTTGGTAACAGAATTAAATACTTACGTGGAATCTTGTTTTAAATTTTCAATCCTTAGATATAAAAGTTGAACATTTTATAAATTTTTAACTACAAAATAATTATTCAATTTTAAATTTGATACATTTTGTCAAAATTTGATCTTTAAATGCTTATAAGAAAAAAACTGTGCCTATGTATTTTTAATATTTTTCAACTGCTATTGTAACAATATATCAGCATTATATTACATTTTTACACTTTTCGGCCCAACAGATAAAACTTTATTGATATCTATAAAAAAAAAAAAACTAAAAAAAATTGAAAGCTGTAAATGTCCGTAAACAGCTCAAAAAGAGTCAAAATATTTTCAAAAATGTATGGTGTATAGGAAATGCTAATTATTCGTTTTTGAATTACAACAAAATAAGGAAATCGCTACAAGAGAAATCGAGTGAATGTCCAATGTTGTAAAAATTTGAATTTCAAACGCTCATAAAAATTTAATTTGACATTCTTATAGACATTTTTTTTTTTGATAAAGGTAAATAATTTTATAAGGAATCTTGTATTACATTTTCAAATCTTAGATTTAAAAAGAAAAATTTTTACGAATTCTTAACTCAAAATAATTTGCTAATTTTCGTGATTTTTCCATATTTTGTCAATTTTTGAACTTTAAATGCTTATAAAAAAAAACTGTGACTAAGGATTTTTAATATTTGTCAATACCTTTGATATAATATAGGTACTAGGAGCCTTCTTTTACATTTTCAAGCTTTTTTAACCAACAAATAAAATTGTATTGATATTTTTAGAAAAAAAACTATAAAAAAATGGAAAATGAAAATGTCCCTAAACAGTTCAAAATAAATCAAAATATTTTGAAAATGTTATCGTGTATAGAACATGCAAATATAAACAACCAGTGAAAATTTCACTTATCTACGGTCATTTGTTTTAAAGTTACACCAAAAACCAAAATCGATTTTCTCAAAAACAGATTTTGCGTAAAAATTCCCGTTTTTCCTTAATTTTTCTTTTGTTTTTCACGGCGCTTTTGAAAACTACTAGGCAATTTTTACTTTTACCCCCCAAAGTAGGTACCAACTAGATTCACTTTCCTATCAGAAAAGCTACTGTCGAAGAAAATCCAAGCACTTTTACTGTCCTAAAGTATACTTTTGCCCCCCCTTGGATTATATCTGAGGGGTTGATTGCCTCTCTGCCACTACTGTTTACTTAACTGTTTTTATAGAACTAATCATATATAAGTTATAGTCTCAAATTTTGTCTATATATACAGTGTTTAACCTGGTCATCAACTATAGCGCCCTCCTCGGGCCGTAATAAACGTGTTAATCATTGATGGACGATGATATACACCATCGATTATGGCAGACGTTATTATTAGTAATGTTCTAAATCAGCCAAAAAAAAAAAAAAAAAAAAAAAAAACAGAAACTATGATTATCGACGGGTTTGTCATATTCAACAATTTATTTTATATCTACTAAAAATGACCAACAATTGATCTGTGTGTATCAAAATAAGTAAATAAGATTTTTTTATAGAAAAAGAAATTTCAGGGAAGGGTTCAGAACCCTAGAACCCTACTCCTGCGTACGCCAATACACCACTGTAAACCAATTTACCAATAAAATACTAATACTGATACGTTATTAATAATAATAATAGTTTAATTAACGATCAACCAATGGCAACCAATAATAATTATTATAATAGTTTTAATACCCATAGGCAGCAACCATTTATAAACGAAAATTTCTACCGTAAATCTCAAAATCCCCGTTTGAGCACCTCCTCAGTTTGGATCTAGGGGTATGAAAAATAGTTTAAACCCTATTCTCAGACCTACTGAATATACTCACAAAATTTCATGAAAATTGGTC